TGGGAGGATCACTTGAGGCCAGGAGTTTGAGACCAGCCCTAGCAACATAGTGAGAACCCCGTCTTTACAAAAAACAGAAATATTAGTCAGGTACGGTGGTGCATACCTGTAGTCCTAGCTACTCAGGAATTGAGGTGGGAGGATCATTTAAGGCCAGGAATTTGAGGCTACAGTGAGCTCTGATCCTGCTACTGCCCTCCAGCCTGGGTGACAGAGCAAGGTCTCTTGACTGTCACAAAAACCCAACCAAACAAAACAAAACAAAAAACACAACAGAGGAAACTCAGGCACTGTATGGCTACCTTTCCTTTAAGTTATGCTCCAAGACAAGACTTTATGAGCTAGATCACTTTAAAATTAAGGCCTATTTTGTTCCCTAGTGGCAAAGGCAGTTTGCGAAATCCAGCAGTTGTGCAGGGTAAGTTACTGAAGGACTGGCTTCAGCATTAAACATGAGATCCAGTTTCACTGTTTTTTGTTTTTTTTAAGTCTTTTGAAGCCAACCATTTCATTTACTCTTTACCTATATAACTAAGGAGCAATTTTGGAAAAGCAATATTGTAAGATGAAAAGAACAGAGAGAAAAGAGGAAAAATTCTCCTATTACCCTGGAGAAACTTTCCGTTTTTCATTTGCCAGGTGCTTTCCCTCCTTTTAAGTCCCTCCATAAATAACTTTCTTTTTTCTTTTTTAAAGATTACCCCATCTTACCAATCAAAACTGTTCATCATTTTATTCATTTCCTTAGGTCTTTTCATAGCAGCAAGGATATGCTCTCTTTCCATCTGTGTGGAGACTATCTAGCAAAGGTTGATTTCAACTCATCTAAAAATTCCTAATAACCTATTCTGTGACTTTTAAATTTGTTATCAACATTGAATTATAAAGCATGTGGATGTAGAAAGCAGGTTATAATAAAAAGCTCTCTATTCAATGTCATGCAGTGATTCTGAAAGCAAGTTTACTGAATAAATGGAATCCATTTTTTTTTTGGCATTTCTGTTGACACCCTAAAACACAGTCCTGTGTGATGAGACGACTGGACCCATGTCTAGGAATTGTAGTGTTAAAACTGGAACCACAAAGTCATAAAAAGTGATGGCACAGAATCCCCAACCTAATACAGGATTACAGCAAACTCCCTAGGCTGGCATACAGCAATTACATGGAAAGTCAACTATTGAATGCCATCATCCTCTGAACGTATGCACCAGTCCCTTAGTGCTGGACTTGTCTGACTTTCCTTTTGGTGTAGCTCCACACAAGCAATCTGGTAACAGCTAACACATCTGAGAGTGACGCATGCCAAAAGTTGGATTGCTGCTGGCAGGGCACACATGTTTGGCATCTCCATTCTAAAGCTCCAAATGCACACACCCCTGGGTGGCCATAGGTGTCGACTGCAGGGCTGAAAGTAGAAACTCTTGCATTCTGCAATTACCTACATATGCCAGCGTGCTCAGTAACACTACTGCTATTTAGAAGAGACCAATTTAATATAAGCTACTTATGTGGGAGTTAACTCATACACTGGTTTTAAAATACACAAAAGCTTTGTCAAGCAGTCAGGTTGGATGGCTCAGGGGACTGAAACATGAGATCTCACTTTTTACCTCTAGGTCACTGGTTGATAGTCAGTGCTTTTAGCTAAGACCTCTGTCTTATTACCACTTGATAGGTTTGATTAATTAGTAATCGAACCTATCAAGCGGTAAAAAGTCCACATCTGAATAACCATCAATACAGCTACGATTAAGATTGTTTTTGTTGGAGGTGATAGTAGAGAATGAAATAGACCTAACTTTGAACTCAGATTTGTGCCTTCTTTTAAATCAGAAATAGAATGTATTTTCAATATTATGCATGTAGCTAAGAGGATATTTCAGTGTCAATAGATCTTAAAGAGGCCATATGATACCAATATTAATTACTTATGAAAAATTACTTAGTTACCGAGATCTTTTATTACCAATAAAGTTAATAATGGGTACCTTGGACTCTTGACTAAGATACAATCAGGTCTGCCCTTAAAATTTGCAGGGTCCAGGGCAAGAGTGCAAGTGGAGGTCTACTTTGCATAATTCTAGATATTTACAAGCTGCAAATCAAGCTAACAAGCTATTACATAAAATATCTTCTATCTTCTTTATCCATTTACAATCCTTTTTGATGGTGATAAACTTTTCTTGACATAAAAAAATACTTATTTAACGTGAAATTATTGCAGATCTGAACCGGGTGCTTTTCTTGGGGATTACAATTCAGAATAGCAGCCAGAATTGGAGACTCTTAACGATCCTCTGAAAGGAATCAGTTTATCACTGAGATGGTGGAGATTAACCTCTGTCTCAGAAATACCTCCAAAGAACTGTTTTGCATCTTACATACATACACATTGGTTAAGACAAAGTACATTACTGATATATGTAATACTTCAGTTAATTTGGAAACTTGAGTCCCTTTAGCTAAAAAGAAAAAAATCACTTGATGGAAATGAGTAACAACATGAGTAGTTAACCTTGTGAGACATAAATTTATTCACGGAATCATTACTCAGGGTTTACAAGCCAAAAAAAAAAAACCCACACACACTCACGTGCTCACACACACACACATAGTGGAACCAATGGTAACCTTGGTAATTAAAGAAAGGAAGATTGAAAGCTATTTTCTTTTGGTGAAATGGCCATTATGAGATACATGAAATATTCATTGAGGAAGAGGCCTACATTCTCTTGAAGGGACCATACATCTTGGTGCCATTCAGAGCCAGATGGTGAATATCAAGACCTCTTTGGAAAACTGCAGAGGTTCCTATTTTATTGGTCTGGAGCGGGGCCTTGCATGGCTTTTTAATGCTTCCCAGGTGCTTCTAATGTTCAGCCATATAGTCCATCATACTACTTTCTGGGGACAAAGTTCTAAGGGTGCCCGTTAGCCAAGAGGGTAGGTTAAGTAGAGACAGAATTTTAAAAACACCTACAACATTTCAAAATGGAGTCAAGGTTCTTTGCAGGACCTCTGACATTATAGAAAGATAATATTACATCTTTTAAGGTCATTTGTTACATATGAATTAGTATTTTTAAACTACAAATGTTTTCCTCACTTAGAAAAAGCCCTCCTATCCTCTGGGTGACACTAAGGAAGTGGCAGGTGAGCATGGAACCAGGGGATCTAAGAGGGTAGGGAAGAGAATGGTCCCATAGGGCAGGAAGAGTTTGAAGAACCCCAGAATCTACAAAACTAGAATTGGAGTTACTTGGGATTCCATGGCCATGGGCAACCTAAAGTCTTTGGATTTATCCCAGAGCAGTTAATCATATGCAAGAGCTTTTCCCAGAAATTGGAAGGAGCACCTGACACCTATGGGAAAACCATGAAGAACTATTTCTTCTCTGTATCTTTGGTAACTAAAATTTGTGTATGGGTGCCATTCAATTGGATGTTGCTTTGAAATGAACATTTAATTATCTACAAAAATACGCCCCCCAAAACCCAAGAGGAAACAAAGCAATACCGGATGGTCAATTCAACAGCAAAACCAGTGTTCCCTGAGCAGTGTCATTTGCTTTAGGTACTAGCAACTGAAACGGAAGTTACTTTGTAAGCCTTCTTTCAAAGAGTCCTCACAAGTTCTTAAAAGATATCTCCTAATGATAAGGATATCTCGGAACTTGTGACAGGCTGGAGTATTTAAGATAAAGGAAGAGAAGGTGCAGGCCAGGAGTCCCCGACATGAGAGTCATCCAGGCAAGAATCCAGATGTAAAGCTGTTTCCATGGCTAGGAAAGCAAGGAATGGGATATATTTGGAATTTGAAAGGCAGTTTGAAAAGAAACAATTCCTGGGTTTGGCAGAAGATGAAGTATGAAGACAATACTATGTGTTGGGCATGGGGCCACGTGTGCTTTTCATAATCACACTTAATCCTCCTAATAACCTTGCAAGGAGACCTGTTTGTGTCTATTTTACTAGAGAGACGACAGGTGTTCAGAAATTAGACTAACCCATAACCAAAGAACTGCTAGGCATTTGCCAACATCCAATCTGAGAACTAATGAATCACAAATTATTTTTGCTGTTGCTCTCATGACACTAGGACTCACTGGTGACAGAAAGCATAGGAAAAGACTGGGAAAGGAAGACCAACAATTCTATCTTTTCTAATTACATTGGTGAAAGAGATGTTCATTTTTTGATGTATTTCAGTATTAGGTTGGGGGAGGGGTAGGTTCAGTGAGATGCTTTTATAAAAACATGTTTCATAGTTCAGTGCTGTCCAATGGAAATAAAAAGCGAGACACATGTAATTTTATATTTTCTAGTAGCCACATTAAAAAACCAAAACAAACAAGTGAAATTAATTTTAATAATGTTTTATTTAACTCAATATGTTATTCCAACATGAAATTAACATAAAAAATTACAAGTTTACATTTTTTCGGTACTAAGTCTTTAAAAATCAGTGTATATTTCACACTTAGAGGATATTTCGATTTGGATTGGCCACATTTAAAGCACTCAATAGCTGTACATGGCTACTGGCTACTGTATGAGACAGCCCAGGTGAAAGCTATGAGATCCATGGAATTTGATGCATGTCTCAGGGTTTGGATAAGAAGAAACAAAAGTGGATACTTAGAACCACCCACGGAAAGAAGGGCTGGGAAAGAGAATCTCCAAATGGGACACTACTTGAAGTCTTTACCTATAATATGCAGTGCTGGAATGATTAAAGTAGCGAATTATTTGAGAGATAGGAACTGAATGAATAGAGCCTCTCTCCCTCTGTCTTCTACTTCAGCCAACAGACCAAGTGATACCAGGAAGCTTCCCAGGGGCTAAACCCTGGGGGGCATTAGTCAGTGGAAGGAGATCCATCCAGTTCCAATGAGCACAGTAGAAAACCTATTGTTTAAGTCACAGAAAGTGGAGTTATTACTAACTTCCCTCCTGTCTCAAGGTTTAATTAAAAAAAAAACTGAAGCGGAGGGTTGTCTCTGCTATTCCACCCACCTCACCCTTCAAACCTAAATTTGAACCTGCTGCTCACCGGCCTAGCACTGCTCTCACCATGGCTCTCAGAGATGCTGATGTGCAAAAGCAGATTAAGCATATGATGGCTTTCATTGAATAAGAAGCCAATGAGAAAGCAGAAGAAACAGATGCAAAGGCAGAAGACTTCAACATAGAGAAAGGTCAGCTTGTGCAAACTCAAAGACTAAAGATTATGGAATATTATGAGAAGAAAGAGAAACAGATTGAGCAGCAGAGGAAAATTCAGATGTCCAGTTTGATGAATCAAGCAAGGCTCAAAGTCCTTGGAGCAAGAGAAGACCTTATCACAGACCTACTAAATGAAGCGCAACAGAGGCTGAGCAAGGTAGTAAAAGATACAACCAGGTACCAAATGCTGCTGGATGGACTGGTTCTCCAGAGTTTGTACCAGTTGCTGGAGCCCCGAATGACTGTTCGACGCAGGAAACAAGATTTCCGTCTGGTAAAGGCTGTGGTGCAAAGGCAATCTCAATGTACAAAATTGCCACCAAAAACGATGTTGATGTCCAAATTGACCGGGAGTCCTACCTGCCTGAGGACATAGTTGGTGGAGTTGAGATCCACAGTGGGGATTGTAAAATAAAGGTTTTCAACACCCTGGAAAGACGGCTGGATCTCATAGACCAGCAGATGATGCCAGAAGTCCAGAGAGCCTTGTTTGGTGCAAATGCCAACTGGAAGTTTTTGGACTAAGGCTTCGGGAGATGGAGCTCATCCTCAGCTCTCCTGCTGTGATGTGGAAGCTTCTGATATTTGAGGAAACATGATGTCTCTGTAGCTTCCTCTTTACTGCCCCAATGTTGCTCTGTATTTATCAGTGATGCCTCTGTCACTAATGCCTTGCCTAATCGTTTACAATGGCAGAAAGCTTCATGTAATATGATCAAGACCCACCTCTAAAAAAAAAAACTAAAGCAAAAGGCCATCAGACCAGACCAGTAAATCTTGTTACAGTTGAAGGTTTGCTTTTTGACTCTTAATGTGCATTTTGTGACTCAAACCCTAGAATTAAGTGTTCATCTAAAGAGGCAGCTGTGATTTTCGGTAGTTGATGGAGGTATTAAGAGAGGGTTGGAGGGAACAGTAATAGGCATTTTCAAAAACAACACTACTTACATAACAAAATTCTTGAAAAATAAAACCATTATTATAATATGATTTTGTAGTGCCTACTCCAATATACTTAGGGAAGGTGGGAACTCAATAATACTAATAGATGACTAATACAATCATTTCAAAGTATATAGTCTTTTGGATAATTGAACACATGGACATCTATTTTATTTAAATCACTTCAATTGTAGAAATTAAATCTGGAAATCAAGAGAGAAAACATTTCATCTTTCTTCTTTCCAACCTTCACATTCTTTCATAAATTATCAAGTAATGGAGTGAGATTTTAAAACAAAAAACAAAAAAGTCAGCCTTCATGTGGTATTCAAAGTGGCAGTGATTTTTATGTCAGTGCTGTCTACTCAGACTGTAAGCTGTTATCTGTCACTTTGTAAGACATTCTTAAAAATGCAGCCGGTGGCCTTCTGAAGTTCAAGTGGTGTGTTTCCATTTCCTGTGATCAGAAACAGAGAAACACCCTGTTTCCCGGTATCAGCCCACGTGAGTGTATGCCTCCTCCCCTATCCACCAGCAAAAAACTCCCTTTACAGGATCTGGGCATAGCCCCCAAATCTAGGGCAGAGCCAGGAGGGTTGTCCAGGGTGGAAAGGAAATCATTTCTTTGGAACTCCTTTAGAAATGGGTAGTTGGGGGGCCAGGTGCAGTGGCTCACACCTGTAATTCCAGCACTTTGGCCAAGGCCAAGGTGGAAGAATTGCTTGAGGGCAGGAGTTCGAGACCAGTCTGGGCAACACAGTGAGACCTCCATCTCTACAAAAAATTTTAAAAATTAGCCAGGTGCAGTGGCTCACACCTGTAGTCCCAGCACTTTTGGAGGCTGAGATGGAAGAATTGCTTGAGGCGAGGAGTTTGAAACCAGCCTAGGCAACATGATCTGACCCTGTCTCTACAAAAAACACACAAAAAATTGCCAGGCATGGGGGCATGCACCTGTGGTCTCAGCTACTGGCGAGGCTGAGGTGGAAGGGTCAATTAAGCCCAGAAGGTCAAGGCTGCAATGAGCCATGTTTGCACCACTGCACTTGAGCCTGGGCAACAGAAAGAAGAAGAAAGGAGGAGGAGGAGGAGAAGAAATGGGTGGGCAGGGGCATGGGAGGTGACGTCTCATAAACATAAATGTATACTGCCTATTTGTAAACCACTCTCCACCTTTAAACAATTTATATATTTATTTATCTCCCGTAAGTTCATGAGTTCCATGGCCCTTCATTTTTTTTTTTTTTTTGAGATTTTGAGACAGAGTCTCACTCAGGCTGGAGTGCAGTGGCATAATCTCAGCTCACTGCAACCTCCATCCCCTGGGTTCAAGTGATTCTCTTCTCCTGCCTCAGCCTCCTGAGTAGGTGGGATTATAGGCACCTGTCACTGTGCCCAGCTAATTTTTTGTATTTTTAGTAGAGATGGGGTTTCACCATCTTGGCCAGGCTGGTTTTGAACTCCTGACCTCATGATCCACCCACCTAGGCCTCCCAAAGACTTGGGATTACGGGTGTAAGCCACCATGCCCAGTCCATTTTTAGGAAAATATAATAAAGTTAGTTTTGTGCTAAAACGAAAACAAAAACAAAAAACTATGCTATTTTGGCTTCCTGGACTTTTGCATATGGATCTAAATATAATGCCTCACTGCTGAGAATCTCTTTTTTTCTAGTTCGAAGTCGATGAGCCAACTGATCTCCTATAAAATTATCAGAATCTATAAGAAAGGATGCTCGAAAAGAAGGAAAAAGGTGGTGGGGAGAAATCACCATCCTTTTTGTACTACATTGAGAATTATGAATATCTTTGTAGAGCAAAATGTCACAGTATCCCATTCTCCTGTGACGTTTTTACATGGACTTGACTACGCTGCACGTCCAATCCTGATTCAAAGATGTCCAGCCATTGTCCAAGACGTCTGGCCTGGGCAGCAGGGTGGCCCACGCAGCGCTTTCATGTCCTAACCCCTGCCTCCATGAGGCTACGCTGCTATGTTAGTTAAAGGAAAAACAGTTAGATTATCAAATACATGCACGTCGGAGTCTGATTTCTCAGTTTTTCAGATTACCTGGATTCAGGGTATTTGGTGAGGGTGGCCAAGCTGCTGGTGTACATGTGGCCGCCCACATCAATGTGGACAGGCGCATTGGATTTTGTGAGTTGTGCTGGAGTAGGGATGCCTTGGTTGTTCAGTGGAGATGCAGGGGATCTAGTGATGAGAGGTCTTGACATATTGGGCCGACTGTCCTACAGAGAGATAAGCAAGTTTAGACACTTTTTCTCTTTACAGTAGAAAGAAAGGAAATAAACACAGCATAAAGAACAAATGAGTGATTAACGATACTCATTCGGTGATAAAACCTGAAAAATCAGCAAGCTCTTCCTTTTGTCATCATGAATATCAGAAAAACAAATTCTGTAGCAAAGAAAAGGAAATCTTCATATGCTCAGAAATAAGGAACTAAACTCAGGTTCACTTCAAATAACTCTGAGGACTATGAAGCCTTATTAAACTAATAAATTATTGCATTTAACTGACAAATGGCAACTAGTATGATATGAAAAGTCTACTCCTTCCAAATAAAATGACAAACACTTAAAACAAAACATATCTAAATAAAATGCATATGAGTTAGCCTTCTCTTTGAAAACTTCCTCATTGCTATCCATTTGGAATAAAAACAGACCTCTTGACACGAGTATTCTACAAAATGTTTTCTTAAACTTTTATTTTTCAAAGCAGGAAAAAGGGAGCATACTGGTCTAGCCATCAGCTCACATACATAAAGCAACTTCACAACAAGGCACCACAAGTTTATCAGTCAACAGAATATGCCCCGAATGATAAATATGTGCTTGCTCATGAACCATGAGCAAACTGCTCTTCTGCATGTCTGACTTCTTGAAGAAATCAAGTTCCCAAAAAGGAACTGAGGCAGATGTTGACATGTGGTTGCATAAGCAAAGGTTCGATGTGAGCAAACAGACCAGAATCAGGATATCACCTGGTGGCAGCAAGAACCTGTTTAAGAAGTTTTACTTTTTTCTTTTTTTTTTTTTGAGACAGGGTCTCACTCTGTCACCCAGGCTGGAGTGCACTAGTGTGATCACAGTTCACTGTAGCTTCAACCTCCTAGGCTCAAGCAATCCTCCTGCCTCAGCCTCCTAAGTAGCTGGGACTGCAGGGGCACATCACTATGCCCAGCTAATTTTTATATTTGTTGTAGAAACAGGGTTTCTCCACGTTGCCCAGGCTGATCTTGAATTCCTGGGCTCAGGTGATCTCTTCACCTCAGCCTCGCAAAGCGCTGAGATTATAGGCGTGAACCACCCCACCTGGGCAGAAACTATACTCTTGAGAAAATACATTATTACATCCTTTCCATGGATACAATATAAATATTTCAAATGCTATCAAAACATGGTTGTTTGCTTTTAAATTAGAGCCCAAACCACAGACAAGTAAAGACAGGTCTCTGGTATTCAATGAAGGGGTCAAATATTTAGAGTACCTAATTGAGAAATAAGCTAAAATACCCCTTATGTGTGAATTCTGTAACACTAATGATACACGTATACTCTCAGATTTATAATTTAGCCAAAGATTGTTTTCAAACACACAATGTATGACAAAGCCAGGAATAAGGCACGCTAAAGGGATTTTGAAAAATGCCTTTGATGGAGACCACAAAGGGGAAGTCATCTCGTTTTTGTGCATAAAACGCAGCATAAAATATAAATTTGTAAAACATCGTAGATGTTATGATCTGGAACAGCTCCAGGAGTTACCTGGGGCACAACTGTTAGACTTCTTAGCATTAACCACATGTCCAAGCAAGACTATGAATGCACATGCCTTCTGAAACTCAACATCTACTATGAATGGGGTTGTGACTGGGCCTTTACCCAAAATGTTTACCATCTGTGTTGTGCGCTTCTACATGCAGAATTAACAGAGCCTAGAAATGGTCAGAGAAAAAGAGTTCATGTTTTAGTTCTCAAATTGGGTGGTCATCTCAAGGGTGTTTACTATATATTTTTTTCTTTATATGTTCTATATATTTTTAACAATGCAAAATAGATCTTGAAAAACTTAACAGGATGTTTGTAACACACAAAGAAAAGGAGTTAAAGGGGCATTGGGTATTGGAAAAAAATATAAAAACCAAAGACAGTTGGTAGGAAATATAAAACACGTAAGGTTCAGAAATACTAAAAGTAGCATTTTAAAATCTGGATGACAGAAAACACATTTGTTTCCTCTAAAAATGCAATCAGACAACCTCCACTTTTAAGAGATACATACCGACTTCCTTTTAAAAAATGATTTCCTGGCCACACACACACACACACACTCACCCCTCCCTCCCTGTTACATTTCAGCCCATCACAGCGAGGCAGAGTCTGTAATAGTTTTTCAATTGGACACATTTTCTATCCTGCCTGAGGGTGCTCAGGCGAAAATGAACAGATTTGCAGGGTTAATATTGTCGTTAGACTGTGACCTCATTCAGCACGGTTCTAACACTGCCAGGTCTATATAGGAAGAGAAAAAAATGAAAGCGTAACTGATCGGTTGAAGGACTGCAGATTTCTCAGCACATATACCATTTACGTTGTAAGTCATAAATGCATGGATATTGCTAAATTTAAAATTAAACCAGTGTTTCTTCAGCTGGGGGTAGGGGTGGGATGGGGTGAGGATTGACCCCTGAGGGCAAGGATTAGAACTGCCCTCCTCTGGTGAGCTCTCCTGGTTCTCCTAGGGGCTCTCCCCG